GAATTAGAGTTTGAAGTGGGCGATCAAGTACTTCTAAAGGTATCTCCAACCAAAGGTGTTGTGAGATTTGGAACGAAAGGCAAACTCAGCCTTAGGTATATTGGTCCATTCTCGATAGTGGAAAGAGTTGGAATCCTAGCGTATCGCCTTGAGTTACCAGAGTCCATGAAAGGTGTACATGATGTATTCCATATTTCCATGTTGAGAAAATATTGAACATCATATTACCGTAGAGCCGATGACCATTGAGCAAGATTTGACATTTGAGTCTCATCCTGTAAGAATATTGGAGGAATCTGAGAGGGTGCTCAGGCATAGAACTATCAAGTATGTCAAGGTTCTCTGGACGCACCAGACCGAGCGAGAGGCCACATGGGAACTTGAGTCACAGATGCGGGAGAAGTATCCCGAGTTATTCACGTCTGGTGAGTTATATAAGTCCTACCTATGAGTTCCTTTCTATACTTGTCCGAGGTATAACTGGACGAATTCGAGGGCGAATTCGATTGAAGGAGGGAGGAATGTAATATCCCGTGTTCTAGAGTATGATTAGGCGAATTCGAGGGCGAATTCGATCGAAGGGGGGAAGAATGTAATACCCCGAGTTTTAAATTAATATATCTCGCGGAATATTAGAGCAAACGCGCAAAAGTTCAACTTTTAAACCATTGTTCGTATAGGCGATCGGGAACCGTGGATGCGTAGAGCTCGCCGAGTAGTGCAAAATAGACTATAAATTTATAGTAATCGGAGTCCGAACGAAGTCCCGAGGATTGAATAGATATGAGCCGTTAGATCTTATTTAGTCTCTTTATATAACCAACCAAAAAAAAACAAACGAAAAAAAAAAAGAAACAGGAGCGATTCTCCTGTAGCCCTAGCCGCCGCACCCCCTGCGCTCTGCCGCCGCCGCTGCTGTTCCTCTCTTCGCCGACGCAGCCGCTGGTGCAGCCATCGCCGGTCGCCACAGCCGTCGTCGTCCGCAGCCGGTCGTTGGTGAGCTACTGTTGTTTCTGTTAATTTCCCTGCTGCTGCCGAACCCTGCTGTTGCCGATCTGATCTCTTCCTTGCTGGTGGTGCACGGCTTGCTGTTGCTGCCGATATTCGTTTCTGCTGCTGCTGGCCTGCAATGAACAGGAAGGAGGGAGAGAAGGCAGAGAAGAACAGGAAGGAAGGAAAGAAGGGGAAATTTGATAGAAGAAGGGAAATTTGGGGAATTTGGTGAATATTTCCAAATTCTTCATTTTTCTTATACATTAGTACTGCTAGGTAATCCGTTTTAGTCTATAGTTGTTTCTAATTTATATTTAAGACGATCTGTTTCCGGTTTTTTCGAATTTATTTTATATCGAACGCTAGGCTGAAACCGTATTTTCAAATCTGGTATTAAACCATCAGGAATCAGGTTAGTTGTCCTAAATAAAGTTTGTAGTCATTGTCAATATCTTTCCAACGGTGCTAGTTTCACTCGATTCCGATAAACGGTTTAGGAGAAACAGCAAAAACAGTACTGCTGACCGGGTCCGGAAATCAGGACAGCAGTTCGTTTTTCCTTAATCTAGGATTTTCAGAGGCATAATCTGATTTTGTGCTCAACATGAAAGTTGTAGACAATTTTGTCTAGATGTCCGAAGTTGTATTATTTGCTAGTTTCCATTAGACGGTTTGTGAGTTACTCATAAAACAGTAATGGAACAGCTATAGGTTATTTAATACAAATCGGTAAAAGGTTTATATGTTCTAGGTTTCGATTTTAGTAAATATCCCTTGTAACCATCGTTAGTTGAATATAGTGGTTTATGCGTAGTTTTGCTCCACAGGTGTGGAAGGTTCCAACGTTGGAGGAGTTGAGTCGGAGTATCGAATGAGTTAAGGCAAGTACAAGACGGACTTATGTGATGGACAAAACTGAGTTGTTTTGTTTGGCTTTACTTGCATAATTATTATTCAATTGCTTGTTATTACTGATTGTATGGCTATGACGTTATGCTACTTATTCGTGTTTCGACCCATATTCAAATTCATGACGTTATTCATGTTTCATTATTCCGGATGTTCTGTTTACATTATTTAAGAACCATGCGTAGCCATGGGAGTGCAATTTGGATCTTTATTCATGATCCTTGAGAAGCGCTGATCACGCTTGCTCGGCTTACCGGTAATGCTAAGAGGATATTCACACCTGCCCGGGAGGGAACTACTATCTTTTGACTTCTTTGGTTTAAAAATAAAGTAAATCCAACCCTTCATGTTGGTTTCTTAATGCATAAATCATGCGTATGTTTTACTAGTTCAAGATTGTACTTGCTGAGTATTCTTTACTCACTCTTGTGTTTAATTTGGTTTTTAGGTACCTAATGACATCGATCGGCATGGGGCGGGAGTAGCACCCTTGGACTACACATTATTATTGCATACAATTAAAATTAGTTTTAGACTATAATTTTTGCTCAGCATAAGTTTTGCATAGAACTTGTAAAGGTCATTTAAGGTTCTGATCCTTATTTTTCACGTGGGATTTGTGGAGTTAGGATGGTTTGGATTGTGTGGTTTATATCAGTATTGACCTTTCTTATAACTGCCTGTCGTGATGTCCGTATTTTTAGGGGAGACTCTGCCGAAATTTCTAATAATTTTAGGACTTAGTTTTTTAGTGTATTTTGGTGTGGCATTCTAGGTACGTGGTTACTTGGGGTGTTACAGGAGCGGAGGTGGATGGGAACAAGGGAGATGTATGGGTGCTAGCTAGTCTCGTTGACCTTGTCTCAGTGGCTTTACTGCTGCAAAGTTGGAGACTCGTTTTCAGATCCAACGCCCTGCTCCACCTCCATCATTTGTTGGGACCCTCAGAGAGGATGGAGGTGGGGCCGAATGGCTCGAGGTCATATACCCTGTGGCCCGGGTTAACTTTCTGGTCTGACATGAAGATGGCAGTGCCGAAGCTAGGTGAGGAGGCCACCGGTGCCACAAGGAGGATGGCATGCTCCAAATGTAGATGACACGACCTAGGTGGTGGTGATGGCCTCAAGTTTGTTCGCCATCACCACCGCTCGGCCCCTTCAAGGGGAGACGACGTCGAGCGGGCCTATGCCAAGATCTTGCGCCCATTTGTGCGAGGTTCGAGCAAGGTTGGGGAAAGAAAGAGGGGAAAATAAGAGTAGGCGTTGATATGTGGACCTTATAATTTTTAAATTTTTTTTCCTTGTCACTTACATGTGAGCAGTTAGTCCTACATCTACTTTTTAATACCTGGATGCTGCATCAGTCAAATCACCCTAAAAAAAGCCTCGAAGAGTTTGTTTTGTACTGGATTTTAATATTTGAGAAGGCGATATATTCGGTTTTGCGGTGGTGTACAATCATATTCGGCCAATAGTCCAGGGAGTCAAAATGGACCTTTTAGTAAATAGTAAATTCATTAACCGGGCCTATGCAATGTAAAGCGGAATAAGTTCATTTGAGGTCCCTTAACTTGTCAACGAATCTGATTTTCGTCCCTCAACCAGAAAACCAGATACAACGGGTCCTTCAACTATCAAAACCGGTACAGATTAGATCCCTCGGCGGTTTTGACTGACGTGGCGCCTACGTGGCTAATTTGACTCAGTCTTCATCTGACGTGACATTGATGTAGCGTTTACGTGACAATTCTATCCAGAAAAATAATAAAACTCGTGGGATCCACACGTCAGTTTCACACACAAATTAATAAAAAATGGTATCATCCTCACCCCTCCTCTTCCTCCTCTCTCCCCATCTCCCCTCTCTTCAGAAAAGCTGGTCCATTCGCGGGATGATGGGCTCCCGCGCTAGCATCACGAACCGCACCATGTTCCCGGAGTCGTCCTGGATGCCGTCGGCGAGCACCTGGAGCCCGTACAGCTCGGCGGCACGGGATGATGCGATGGCGGCGGTGGACGAGCCGCCGGATATTGTTCTACACCTCCCGCGCCTTCTTCCTCCTCATCATCCTCCAGATCCCGCTCTTCATGTCGCCCCCTTCTCCCTCCCAATCCCCTCTGATTTAGCTCTGTTTCCGTGTCGATCGTGTGGTCAATCTTAGCAAACGAGCAAACAATGGTTGCCTCAAAATAGATCCTGTATGCATATCACTACTTGTAGCTAGTAGGTTTGATTATAGTGCATATGTGCGTGTGATGAGTTCTCGACGAGCAGGACGGCGCGGTCGGCGATCCAGAGCTCCACGGCCTGGAAGGCCTCCTCGAACTGGTCGCAGGGGATGGTGTTGCAGGTGGTCTGGCAGTGGGCGCGGGAGAACGGGGTAGCGCACGGCGGGCGGACGGCCGTGGATCTGGGGATTTGCGCGGGGCGCGGCGCTGGCGAGGTTTCAATCCTCCAGAGGCGAGGTGTTCGTGGCTGGAAAGGGCGGCGTTGCGCAGCCGTTTTGACGATGGTTTCCCTGGCCTACCGGCGAGCGCGCAAGAGAGAGATGGCCGGCGGCCGGTCCACTCCATTTCGTCGTCGCCGGCCGCATCTGGTGCCCATCCCCCCAGCGCAAGAGAGAGATGAAGAGAGGGGAGATGGGGAGAGAGGAGGAAGAAGAGGAGTGGTGAGTTGGACCGACATATGGGGCTCACGTGGGCCCATCTTTTTTTAATTATTTACTCTGTGAGACTGACATGTGGGTCCCATGGGTTTTATTATTTTTCCGGATTAAATTGCCACGTAAGCACCATGTCAGATGAAGACCGAGTCAAATTAGCCACGTAGGCGCCACGTCAGCCAAAACCGCTCTCAAAACCGCCGGAGGACCTAATCTGCACCGGTTTTGATAGTTGAGGGGCCCGTTGTGTCTGGTTTTTCGATCGAGGGACGAAAATCGGATTCGTTGACAAGTTAAGGGACCTCAGATGAACTTATTCCATGTAAAGCCGTAAAGCCCATGAGGTCCGTGAAGAGCAGAACTGGGCCTCCTCCATTCCATCTCGGCCCAAATCGCGACTCGACTAGCTCCCCCCTAGCTAGGGTTTCACTACATAAACACGCTCACGACGCCTCTCCCCTCTCTCTCTCTCTCTCTCTCCTGCCTCCGCTTCTCTCCCCCGCGCCGCCGCCGCCTCCACCGAAAGCAGCAGCCGCCGGCGAGCCAGCCAGCAGCCTAGCCATGTCGGAATCGAAGGCCGCCGCGGCGGTGACCCTCCGCACCCGCAAGTTCATGACGAACCGCCTCCTCTCCCGCAAGCAGTTCGTGCTCGAGGTGCTCCACCCGGGCCGCGCCAACGTCTCCAAGGTGCGTTTCGTTTAGGGTTTCGCCCGCGTGAGGGTGAGGGGAGGGGGAGAGAGCGAGGCTGATCCGCTGTATTGTGCGCGTTGTGCAGGCGGATCTGAAGGAGAAGCTGGCGAAGCTGTACGAGGTGAAGGACTCCAACTGCATCTTCGTGTTCAAGTTCCGCACCCACTTCGGAGGCGGCAAGTCCACCGGATTCGGCCTCATCTACGACAACCTCGACGCCGCCAAGAAGTACGAGCCCAAGTACAGGCTCATCAGGGTACGCACGCATCGCTCAGAACTTTGTGCCATCACTCTGCATTCTGAATTTGGGATTGAGCTAGCGGAATGGTGGTTGTTCGCCTCAGTGCTCGGTTGTGTATCCTATCCTGATGCGCGAATTGACGCGCGCACACTGTACCAGTAAGTCCTTGTTCGGTTAGGCTTGGATTCAATCCGGGCTAATCCAATCCGAGCCGGGAATGACAAGTATAGTAAGAAATTTATGATAGATACAATGAGAGACCGGGATTTATTCCGGGCCGGGAACCAATTTACTTATGATAGAGACAATAAGAGATCGGGAATCAATCCACTAGTCAAGAGGTGTGGAACTAATCCCAGTCTCTTATTGCCCCTATCATGAGTAAATTGGTTCCCGGTCCGGAATAAATCACGGTCTCTCATTGTATCTATCATAAATTTCTTACTATACTTGGCATTCTCGGCTCGGATTGAATCCAAACGTAACCGAACAAGGCCTAAGCTGGTTTGCTAGCATTTAGGATTATTTTACTTTGGATTTTGTGAGAAGCAGTTAGGAAGTTGTCTCGTGATGTTTAGATTAGTTTTCTGATGTGGTTAATAGGTGCAGCTACTGTCCGTTGGAAACGGTTGCTTTGTTTCGAGAGGTGTTCTGGGCATTCCGTGTGAAGTTAGGTTTGGGAATTTGGTGCGATTAGTCAAATCGTGTCTCGCTTAGCACTTGCACAGGTAGTTTAGCCAAGGTTACATGCCAGTTATTACTCCCTCCGTATTTTAATGTATGGCGCCGTCGATTTTTTTTATCAACGTTTGACCATTCGTCTTATTCAAAAAATTTATGTAATTATCATTTATTTTATTGTGACTTGATTTATCATCAAATATTCTTTAAGCATGACATAAATATTTTTATAATTGCACAAAAAATTTGAATAAGACGAATAGTCAAACGACGTTAGAAAAGTCAACGGTGTCATATATTAAAATATGGAGGGAGTACATTTTAGTGCAAGTGAAGTGATAGCTGAGTGAGAATCTTAGTGTCAAAGTAATGGAGGATTTGGGAAATAAACTGCGTTCATGCTGAATTAGACCTAGTGGGCATTTATACATCACAACACATGGTACTGTTGCCCTTTCCTTTTTCTAGCCTTAGTGTTGTGATCTATATATGCCCTTTAGGGCTAATTCAGCATGAACATAGTTTATTCTCCATTCCTCAAATCATCCATTACTTTTGACACTTAAAAGTATATCAATGTATAACTGAGGGTCGGTTTGGTTTGTTCCTTGCTAAAATTTTGGAATGCCAAATTTTGGTGCGGCTTATTTTGGTTGCAACCGCACTCTTAAGACAACCTTACCAGAATTATGGGAATGCCCATGATCCTATGTTGCATACCAAAATTTTGGTGGCAAACCAAATAATACCTATCCCATCTCTACCCTACCAAAATTTGGTAGTGCCATTACCTGACATTAGCAAATTTTGGTATGGTAGAGAACCAAGCCAGCCCTAAATCAGCTACAACATTCCGTGGATTTCATTTGGGATAATTGGTGATATCATCCATGATTAGATTGGCACTCTGGAATTTGCCCCATACTAGAACTACTCCCTTCGTTTCATATTATAAGACGTTTTGACTTTTTTCTTTAAGTTGTAACTTAAAGAAATTTGACTTAGAAAAAAGTCAAAACGGCTTATAATTTGAAACAGAGGGAGTAATTGATAATTAGGTCTAGAAGGTGGCAAATCCTTTGACTACCCAATGGGTGGCATAGAAAATGGACGCGACTCCCTGAATGTTGTGTAGATGGCCCAAGTAGATTCTTAGGGCGAGTTCTAAACAGCAAGGGGAAACAGCTACTTCCTCGTCCTCTGTGAGCATTGCTTCCCAAACTGCTAAATAATGTGTTTCATGCAAAAGTTCTCTATATAGAGGTTTCTTCAAAAATCAAATAAATCCTTTTTCTTTCTAGTTTTTAACAATTAATATTCAACTAATCATGTGCCAATGGCTTGTCTTGTTTTGTGTGCCATAAAAAACACTAGGCTCAGTTCGGAATGAGTGTTGGCTTGAATTTTTGATGGCACGCAAAACGAGCCAAGTCATTATCACATGATCAGCTGAACAAGCTGTAGAAGAGATACTTCTGATTAGCTTATCTAGTGATATGTAGTTTGGGTGCATTGTATATTAGTATATACTCTATTCCTTTAATAAGGTGTATTATAAAGTCAAAAGACTAAGTGTATACTTTGGCCACTAGTTACTCATAAACTAATTTGTTAATGAGTACATAACTAAATTATATGAAAATACATTGCCGTATAATTCTATTCGTATAGTTTCTACATGTTAAATATACTTGTAATTTGAGTAATAGTGGTTAATGTTTATAAGCTTCACTTATATAAACTTGATAATATATTAATATTCCTTATAAGAAGAAACAGAGGAAGTAGGTGATTTGTTTAATCAGGGCTTGTTGTATTTCCCTTGGGATAGTGTGGCTTATTGTTTTGGATGTTAATGCTATCTCAAATTCACACTGGTGATACAAACTTTTTATCTCAAAACAAAAGAAAATTAGCACTCTAGTATGATGGAATGCAATTTTTTATGGTGATTATCTATTGATTTAAGATAACAATATACTATGGCAAAAACGCAAAATATTTTAGTATGGAAAACCAGTTTTAGTGACAGTCATTATCAGCATATGCACTTCTCCTGCTTGGTACTGAAGTGTTGCTTTGGCTACTTGCTTGAACTGTATTGACATTATGGTACACAAAATACACATTATACCTTTGGTTACTTGTTTCATATTATTGATTGATTCATGTGAAATAGGAACTGCACATGCACCGATGTATGTGGAGTCATTGACATGTTTGAATCACTAATGTTTTGTTATTCTCCACAGAATGGTCTTGCCACTAAGGTAGAGAAGTCACGTAAGCAGATGAAGGAACGGAAGAACAGAGCAAAGAAGATCCGTGGTGTGAAGAAGGTCAGTACCAAGTATCAACCCAGCATTTTGAGCATTTATGTTAACAATATTGCAATAGTATTTAGGTAGCTTCAACTTCAGTCTTCAGTGCGTGACCTAACTTCGTGTTATCTGCTAATTTTGTAGACAAAGGCTGGAGATGCTGGGAAGAAGAAGTGAGAGATGATACTCATCTTGCAGTCTTGATGTGTTCATTATCAAAACCTTGCTTTGTTTAGAGCTGTCTCCTTGTGGCAATATTACTGAATGCTTAATTATAACTAGAAAAATTTTGCCACTTATGTTCTTGCAATGTTGAGGCATCTGTAGTGTTCTTGGATTTTGAGGAAATTTGTCGGACTCTAGCATATATAGTACTTTAATCACGGCGCATGTTCTTTGTGTCTTCTAATTCAGATTTGGGTTATCCTGTTTCAACAATGCAATGCGTGGCTTGGGTACGAGGCACTGCAATTAAGTCGTATTTTGCAACCAATTAAGTTACCGTGATTAGTTTACATAATTAAATCGACTTCCGTTCGGTAAAACAAACGAATATGAAATACTCCGTCTCTAATCTCAAAATATGTGCAGTTTTGTATTATTCACATTCTTATTTGAAAATATTTTATGATTATTATTTTTATTGCTATTAGATGATAAAACATAAATAGTACTTTATGTAAATATTTTTAAATTTTTCATAAATTTTTTAAATAAGATGGACGGTTAAATATTAGACACGGATAACTACGGTTGGATAACTACGGTTGTACTTATTTTGGAACATTTTAGGACGGAGGTAGTAATTGTTTCGTGTCGGCATCAGATAACAGTACGTTGTCTCTAGTTACACGAGAGCAAGTGTGTTGCTTGAACATTAGGAACGGTACTGTCCTAATAATACTGCAAGTTCTCATCCACTGTTGCAAATCGTCCCACTGGGATGATTTTACAGAAACCACCGTCGTATCATTAACAGGTTAATAAGCAGTGCCAGTTTGTCGATTAACCTGGTATGAGATCAACTCCAGGTTGTTTGTCAGTGAAATCCCAAGGGCAATTTGCGACTATTGGTTCCCCATATACACTAGCAGTTCATCAGTTGACATGAAAAACTCAGAAACCAGAGCTTCCCTAACTGATCGGAACACATAGATGCATCTTGCAGGGGATAGGAAAGGAAACAACTGATCAGGATCCACAAGACTAGACGTAAATAAACTACGTCAAACAAGAAAACTGTTCCTTCTCGCTGCAAAGGAAACCATAGACCTGCTTCAAGTTTCCTCTAGATGGTCTTGCATTAACAGCATATTTGCAAACAAAAACCAGCCTCTTCCTCATCTCCAACTTCGTGACGTCTCCTTTCAGAAATGAATTGCCATGATCAAAGAATCCTTGGAACAAAGAGCAATTAATTAAAGATACGTAAACTTGATGTCGTGAAATTATTAAATTGTTGGAACATACCTAATCTTCTATAAAAATAATTTGATATCGAGAGCATTATTATGTTTTGACATGATTTAAGATGAGTAGAAAACTGATAAAAATGGCACAACACCACAAAATTACCTTTTTAATTCAAGAGAAGCAAAATTGATACAAAGATAAGTCATCTTCTAAAATAAAGAAGTTGTATAAATATGCTTACCATCGCAATCAAATAATCGTGTAATTATCGCCAAGGCCACACAGATGCTTATATCCTCTCCTGTAAGGGAAATAAAACAACAATGAAGGGCTCACTTGTACAAAGAACTGTCAGGCAAACTTATGGTTTTACTTATTACAGCATGATGAAGAAAGCATGTGTAAGCTTTTTCAGATAGGGAAATGTGCTAGCTTTACCATTTTGACAGCATATTAGTAGCTTCTTCCCTGCTATCAAATTCCTGTTTGCAAAGCTAACTGCTTTTGGAAGGTTTTTCATCAACGAAAACCGGTCGTCCTTTGATCCCTAATAGCATAAAAGTACAAAATGATGACAATGTTTACATACTGGGAAAACTAAAATGGTCAGAAAAATTTCACTTACCACCATAGGTAGTTCAAGGTAAGAATTCTCTGATGAAGTCAAAGGTAAATTTGATGTGCTGTCACAGTTCAGTATACAATCCACTTCAGCTAAGGAATCTCCAACTGCATAGATCATGCATACAGAAAAAAAAAAACTATCATCAACAGTACGCCTGCATCATATGAAACTTTGTATGTATCTTGAAACAACAAATTTGATTAAAGGAAGGTTCTAACTAGTTGATATCTATGATTCTATCCACATCTACATAATACAAAAACTTGTAGACAGGCTAGCACACTTTTTTGCAGTATACAGAGATATGCATAAAAGAATGATAAACAGACCCGCTAAAGAACAAAAAAAAAAAATCAACAGATCAACGCAGTACATGACAAGATATTGACAAGAAAGCACAAACAATAATAAAACAAATATGCAACTGTATAAATAATCATGTTTTGTACCTTGGAGAGTTGATGCTACTGCAAGGTTTGATGTCCCAATCCAGAAGAGTATATGGCCATCACTGGAATTTTGTTTGTCCATAGCAGTAACGGTAGGAGGATCCGAGTCCATTGGTTGCACAATACTTGTATGATCACCATTACTGAAAGGACCATCATGGCTTGAACACTTCAAAGGCTTAGCTGTAATTTGGGGAGAATATTCGCCTCTCTGTGCACGATAGACCCTATCTTTTTCAACAATATCTGCAACTAACTGATTACAAAGGTCTGGTCCACCATCAAGCAGATCATATGAGTGCTTCCAGAATAATGTAGGAGTGAGACCACGTGCCCAACTCTCTTCATCATCTCCAGCTCCAGGAATATAGTGCCAGCTGAACTCTGAAGTCATCCTTTGTGTAGCTACTGCACCAGATGCAGATGCTGAAACTAATATGATAGGGGTGAAATCCCATGATTCAAGCTCTGGAACTTCATTTAACCATATCCGTGTCCTTTGTGATATCCACAATGGACGTAGTGGTTTCTTCAAACTTAACGCAAGAGAACGAATGTCTGCACCACATGATTCAAATTGGGTTGTCCATTCCTCGATACGCCCCTCTATAGCATTTTTCTCAGTCTCTAGAACCCATACAGGAAGATGCACTGAGTTATCCCAGTTTGATGATTCAGAGATCTTTTCAGCGTCTTTGTTGGCTACAGCAGCTGACTAACATGCAAAATTACAAAATATCATGAGGATGGGTGAACATGGAAAGTTTGAAATTCAAACAAAGGGACAAATGAGAAGAACAGGAAGAAAGGATCATATAACAGGAAGAACAGGAGACATAAATCACATTGTGAATTTCAACAGCCTTATTTCTGTTGTTTGCCTTTGGTTCTCTATAGTGATCACTTGGGCCCAGATTTTGGCATACTCTAAGGATAGTAGTTACTAGTTACCAAAACAGGCATCTTATGCATTTTTACTGTACAAATTTAACTATATCAATGGAAAGCCGTGAAATGAGGTACATGTGCACAAGGGTTATTTACTGTATAAATTTAAGTATTAAACTATAGCAATAAAAAGCCTTGAAATGAGGTAAATGTGCACAAAGGGAAAGGGTAGAGTGACATAATGCCGTTCCAGTAGAACTATAGGAAGCCGATATACCAACCACATCCAAATCCACTCCACTTACCTTGTTGTTAGTCTGCAGCCGATACCTCTCAATTGCTCGGTTGAGGACACAACACCAAATGGGTATGGTCTTTGACATGCTGTCAGGGAAACGTTTCCCTCTCCTTGTTGAATCAACAATTATGCACCCTCCTCTCTCCCCTGCCCAGAGAAAAAATAGACAAAAACAAATTACTTGTGTTAAAGGCATTTTGCACTCATCAAGCATCATATTTAGCAAGTGAAAATTCTTGAAAAAAATCACAGTAACATGAATTATTAAGCTGTATATTACACAACCTTCCGAGAATTCGAATTATCCGCACAGCCACACTGATATTATATTACTCCCTCCGTTTCAAAATGTTTGACACCGTTGACTTTTTAGTATGTGTTTGACCATTCGTCTTACTCAAAAAAATTAAGTAGTTATTTATTCTTTTCATATCATTTGATTCGTTGTTAAATATACTTTCATGTACACATATAGTTTTATATATTTCACAAATTTTTTTAATAAGACGAATGGTCAAACATATGCTAAAAAGTCAACGGTGTCAAACATTTCGAAATGGAGGGAGTATTATATACTGAAATGTTCGAACTATTTGACCATGGTTATTCGAAATAACTGAATTAGCAAACAATTTAATTATACCACCTGCTTCGACAGGTAAAACGGATTGCAGTGCTAAACTCTAGTTCTAGACGCCTGGATTAAACATATAGCATAGTTTAGACCAAATACTTCAACAATGAGTAAGGGGGGGAACCAGGAGCAGACCAGCGAGGAGGGCGAGGTGGAGGTTGAGGCGGGCGGTGGAGAAGGCCCAGTTGCCCGCGTGCCCATCGGTGGACTTGAAGTAGCAGGTGGCGGCGACGGCGCGGGGCGGCAAGTACCAGAGCCCGCAGCGGAGGTTGGCGACCAGCGGCAGCGCCGGCCACAGCGCCGCGATCTCCGCCACGAACGCGGCGTCGTCCGCCACGCTCCGCAGCGCGTTGTACAGCGTGCTCTCCCGCCGCTTGATGCGCCGCGCCGCCTTGTAGATGCTCAGCGTCGACGGCCCAGCGGCGGCGGCATCCGCTGACTCCGACGACGCCGCCGCCGCCGCCATTGGAGAGACGAGAAAGAGAGAGACGCTGGCTTGTCCTAATTTGGGCTCTCTAAACTGGAAATAGAGTGGGCCAAAACCCATTAATAATTAGCAAGGTTATGGGCCTAATTTCGTTCTATATGGTGGGCCTCTTTAAAGTCATGGTCCAAATACGGCCCATTTTCTGCTGATGGTGGTCGTTAATTAGGTCCATTCTGGATGATCAGCCTAACTTCGGCTCGTCAGTTGGAAGACGAAATTTTTGGGGAATAAGTTCACTTTATATCCCTCGAGATAGGGTCGAGTTTAATTTGTATCCCTCAACCACTAAACTGGGTATTGAACGTCCCCCAACATTTAAAGCCAGTGCAAATCCAGTGAGAAAATAATAAAACAAATATGTGAAGGACACATTTATGTGGGTATATGGCTAAAAAAATGGATCCCCATCTCATAAAATATATGGTTCAAAAAATGGCTTGAGAAATTCACGCAACGGTTCGCTGAGGTGATTGATGCAGCCCCCATCTCGTTCTCTGGCGAGTGCAAGGTGCAGAAGGCGCACCCTCTCCTGCTGGTCACCGTTGTCCAACTCCTCTCTTGCTGCCCACCGCCCACATCTATGGAGGGAGAAGGCGATGCATGGAGGCACGCTGGCCGGAGGTGAAGGAGGTGGGATCTCCCAC